AGAGAGAGAGAGAGAGAGAGAGAGAGAGAGAGAGAGAGAGAGAGAGAGAGAGAGAGAGAGAGAGAGAGAGAGAGAGAGAGAGAGAGTTCTTCTTTCTCTTCCTGTCCTCCGTCCCTCCTCCCGCCCTTGTGGAGCTCTTCCCCTTCTTCTTCTGCTGAGACACTAGAGAGAAAGAGTTGACATTGAGACTTGGTGACTTTGGGCCATGCCCGGTTCAGTGACATTGCGACTTTGACATTATATGAGCGACATTGGGAATACATTGGAGACTGGGTTCATTGGGCTATGGTGGCCGATCTCCCTATCTCCTCTTCCCTTCCTCTCTTCTCCTCCACTTTGTCCGTGCATGTTATCTGGACTCAGCACCCCTTCTATGATTGCAGCGCTGAGTCCTTCCCATATGTGTGATGATGATGGTTGTTCGGTCGTGGCCTTGTCCTGTCGAGTCAGATCTTGGTATTTCAGTCTTCCGCTGTGCTATATTTTGCTCTATCTCTGAGAGGTGGTTCTTGGTTCCGATCTTTGCCATTGGGCATGCGACATCTCGCTGCCACCACACAACTTCCTCCTCGTGCACCGTTGCTGAGCAGCCGCTTGCGCAGTGCTGCCTCATCGCCTCAATGCACAAATGTGTCATGCAGGGTGCCCTCCAGTCTTTTGTGCTGGCTGGAGAGGCCGAGGAGGCTGCACCCTTCTCAGTTTCCTGCGCCCTGGGCATTTCCAGAATATGCACGAGGCCCAGCATCTTCAGCTAACTTGTGAGCTGGGCCTACCAGTTAGTTAAAGATGCCACACACATGCAGCCACCACCTGGGGCCTCCATTCTGCTCACATTGGCCTATGCTCAGGCCAGGCTGCAGTTGCAGGTCCGCCTTTGCTTAGGGCACGCGGGGCCTTTTCTTGGTTGGCCAAGGTGCTGAATCCTCACATTCCCTCCCCCTCCTGTTTGAAAGCCCTCTGAGAACTCCTCCATCAATCTGCCGCTTTCCCTTCAAAGCCTGCCCATATTGATGAAACGGTTTTCACCTCTCAGCAGTAGCAGATGCCGTACCCAGGGTTCGACCCCTAGACCTCGCCTTCCCCATGTACAGTATCCGTGTAGACCCCGAGAGTTGAACCTGTGACCTGTGTATTCCTAGACAGTTGATAGGTCTGTCATAGGTCCGTAGGTAGCAGGGGTTCGATCTGTTGATCTATAGAGTAGAAGTCTTACTGAGTCCAGAAGCTTAGCTGTAGTCCTTCTAGAAGGTAGGCAAGTGGGCAAGCGGCGAGGCAAGTGGTGGACTGAACTGCAGTGCAATTGCAGTACGTCGTCGGTAGGATAGCAGCGAGTCCACAGACAGTCAGCAGTAAGGTCCAGTCAGTCCCAGTTCGGTCCAGCAAGTACCACAGGGGACTGTGCACACCATGGGCCGATGGCAAAGGGCAGACCAACGAGTTTTCAAAGTATAAATAAAGGGGCAGCGCCCAGCCTTGTATTCATTCCTGCGTGAGCCATGCAGAAGCGCTGCCACAACGACTTGTGCAAGGAGGTCTGCAGATGAGCCCGCAGGACGCAGTGGGCGAGAGAGGAGGAGTTAGCATAGCGATAGGTTAGAGGCAGCTATAGCTGCCATAGCTGTAGTTAGTAGTAAGTGTGTGTGTGTGTTCGAGTGTTCAGAGTGACGTGTGTGGGGTATCCAGGGTGATCCAGTGGGTGTGAACAGTGAGTTGTTTGGGCGCTGAGTCCCCATAGCCAGTTGAAAGTGAACTCTTATCTGGAAGCCATATCTCTGAGTTTCGATTGGGCGCATGTCGCCAGTTTGCTGCGTTGCTGTTCACATGCATGAAAAGTGTGAATGAGTACGAGTCTGATTGCATTGGTATCGGAGCTGGT